AATGTTATTCATTATGTTTACTGATAGAATTTATGTTCGTTCCACATCGATTGTTTATTGGGTTATTGTGTATAAGTGTTGGTTGGTGAGCTAGCCTTTGTTAGAAGTTATGCTTGTCTTACATCGATTATTTATTGGGTTTTTATTGTGTATAAGTGTCAGTTGGGCACCCTCTCCGTTTGAGCTAGCTTTTTCGGATGAGTTCTATCTAAACCCATACATTATCATGTATCAGAACAACCAAGTTTTATTTGGCGTGATGGGTTTTTTTCCCTGCTTGTTTGGTTTGGCATGTTGTGCGTGAGGCAAGTGTTAGAAATTATGATTGACCGACGTTGATTAGTTACTGCGATTTTTGTGTATAAGTGTGGATTGAGCTGTTAGAATATTACTTGTGAGTTGTCCTACATTTATATAGGGAAAATAGGCCCAACTTATAAGTGAGCTACTCCTTCTATCACCAATTGGTTTTGGGATGGAACCTCACTTGGGCTTCATCTGGGCATTCCCTGTTATGGTGCGCTTCATTTGCGTGGGACTGCACCCGTTTTACCCCCGATTCTTACATGGTATTAGAGTTAGTTCTACGTGGGACCGTGCGATGACGTATTCGTCACCTAGCCCTGGAGCTTGTATGAAAGATTCACAAGTGAGGGGGCATGTTAGAATATCACTTATGAGTTGTCAGGAAAATAGGCCCAACTTATAAGTCTAACTTCTTCTATCACCAATTGGTTTTGGGATGGAACCTCACTTGGGCTTCATCTGGGTTTTCTCTGTGCGCTTCATCTGCGTGGGACGACACCCGTTTTACCTCCGATTCTTACAATCATCTCCTTTCTCTGTTATGGTGTGCTTCATCTGCGTGGGACGACACCCGTTTTACCTCCGATTCTTACAATCATCTCCCTTTGAGCTGGCTTTTGGGATGACTTCTACCTAAACCCATTTATCAACTTTCTTTTTCATTACTAAGTCGAAGTAGTTTTATTAATATATTTCGTATGCTCTTATCTTCACGAAAAGTTTACAAAGATTAAAATGAAGATCAGTATTGGGCTTATCAATATCTTATTTAACAATAATGTCAGTTATGTTTTTGCAACTCTATTTGGTTGGTTGTCATACAAATAATTTAAATAAAGGGCATTCAACATGATAAGTTGTATTTTAAAATTATTTACTTCAAGTGTCATGCCTAGCCTGTTTTTAGGGGACACTCGAAATGAAATAGAAGTAACAAGAATAAAAGTGTTGACAAAGCTGAGAAGTAAGAAGGTACTTGAATTTTTTATAGATGGGTAAGAATTATGTTATTGGAGTTAACAATCCATGTTTTTCTTGGGATAGTTTAATCAAGTAGGATTCATGCACTAGCAATGATTTTGGCTTAAAGTTGGAGATATACTACTAGTTGTGACTTGTTGGAATCTATTTAATATTTTTTTGTTTGTTCCTTTGGTTTCATGTTGAAGATTGTCGATCCTATTCTCTCCATATGCCGTATTCATTCGTGCTTGAAATGCAAGGAACATCTTTTATGCCTGGATGCCTCAGCGTGCAAAGTTGATACACAACAACCACACAAGAAGCTCAAACATGGATGCTTGGTAAGAATTTCTTTGTTAATAATTTTTTTGGAATTATTCATAAAATAACATCATCAGGACCAGGTTTGTAGAACAAGGTGTACACGTGAAAGTGGTAGTTTATTAGACGTTTTTTGAGATTTTTGGCTTGTATATATCTGTTGTCGTTACATCATGTTGATTTCATGTGCAAATATGGAGAGAAATTTTTTTACAATTCGAACGTTGCATCGTTGTGTAAATCAAGTGTGGAAGTTATACATGTGGAAGTTGTATAAAATGGACATAGATTTTGGAATTGTATAAAATTAGAAGAATACTATTTGCAGTAGTTCTGTGTTGTTAGTCAGGTTAAGAGGACTTTAATTTTGAACAAAGATACCCACATAGGTAAAATGAACATGATTTGAATTTTGGAAATGTGTAAATTTGGAAGATTTAATTCCATAGTACAGCTATTTGTCATCTAACTATTAGCCGGATATATTTTTAACAAATTTACACTTCATTGGAAGAACCATACTTAAAAGAAATACATAAATAGAAGTTTGTTATTTGATTAAATGCATATGACTAGTCTACTAGCTCAATGGTTAGGTCATTTTCCTTTGTGTATTATTTGATGTAACTGTAATTAGTGTCAAATAGTTAGACAACTATACTTTTTCAACAAATATAATTTTTTTACACTAAAATGCTATACTTTAAAGTACAATATAAACAAAAGTATGACATTTCATAATATAAATATGCGTTTTTATATAAAAATGTATCGCTAAACTTAACAACAATATTTGTGTTTGATAAATACGAATCTAGATTGTTATCGCGACATGTATACTTGAATTTTGAAAATTTCCATATCACGGGTAGCAAAATAACTATTTTTGTTTTGTAGAAGTTAAACCATTTTTCTTTACATTTCACCGTTCGAATTAATGATGAAATGGATATAGACACATTGAAAATTTGTGTTTCACATAAAAGTAGAAATGGAAAAGTGAAAAAAAATTAAAAGCGAGATGTTTTGAGATTATGAATGAATATAGGATAAAAGTGGAATTGTTAAAGTTGAAAAAATGTAATGATTGTGGGATTGTAGAGAAAAAATTGGTTGAATGAACAGTATTTTTATGAAAAAAGTTAAGTTTCCATTGATAATTTCAAGAGATGGATTAGATCCAATTGTTTCGCTGGGGAAATTTCTTTCTCTGCTAGTCTTTACGAAATGGTGAAAATGCTTTGAAGGCTTACGTATGTAAAATTTGGAAGTAGTGTTATTGTATATGATATGGAAATGTGACAATCAAAATTGATTTGATATGAGAATAGTAGTTATAATGACACGGTTAAGAATGAAGTGTGAAAATTGAAATTTGTAGGAAATTCTATATGCCGACAATTCTATATGTGATTTGTTTTCGCTGTTTGTAGATGTGAGAGAGAATTTAATTGAGTTAATTTTCTAAAAGCTTTTTGGACACTTGCTGGTTTCAGTTTAAGAATTTTTCTTGTAGTGGGGCAGTGAGTGAAAAATCTTTTATATCCTAGCACTGCCTTACTTCGCCAAATAGCTTACAAAAATGTAGTGTTTTTGTTCTAGTACAAACATCTACCTTTTTCTTTTTTATATATGTATTTTGACATGGATGGTTTAGCATTTATTGAAAAGAAAACTATGTCTTGTACCTTTTCATTACAAAGTGAACATACGATCATTATTAAAGTCTCTTCTAACGTGCTTGTTTTTCTTGTCAATTTGCAAACGCTCGTGATTGCTGAAGAATGGATCCTTCAAGAACACTGGTACTAATTATACCCAGGAATGTTCAGAGGTTAGTAGAACATAGTTTCAATCTCTGTGTGGCCATTGGAGGGAGTTTATGGTCATCTTTTATGAAGTGAGCTGGAGTTTACATCTGTAAATAAACAATTCTTTTCAGAAAACAAGTTTCATACTTACAAGTTAAAATTGTTCCTCTTAGCTTATGGGTGTGGCTGCCACTGATATCGTCTTTCACCAGTAACATATCAAATAGTAGTTTAATGCTATACCAGCTTTTTGAGAACAGATTAAGGTGTTTAATGGCAATATGAGATCATTTAACATGGCTACATCTTTTATATATATATACACACATATATACACATTTATCTAATGCAATTAGAGTGTTGTACTTCTTTTAGCAAATGTAATTTTTTGATATGTCAAAGCTAATGCCTTAAAACTCATGGAGTCATCATACAGCTCATCTCGTCAAAATTTCTTGAAACAGTTCTTTAAAGTGTTTTTCTATAAGCATTTCTCTAGTTAAAGGGTATATTTGTTCTTGTGAATATAACTTACTGGTGACAATAAAGCCGTTTTATGCAGTAAAAGATGTTGTATTATTGATAAATTGCTTGTTTGATCTGTGTTTTCAGATTGATGATGACATGCGGATTCTTTTAGAGAGTGATACAACTAAGGTTGAGGAACTTGTGAAGAAACAAACCAATGAATTTTCTACCACGGTAAAGGTTCCTAAGTGCGGCTTTTCCTATTTGAAGTTCAAAGTGAATGGTGGTCATTAATAAAAATTATCACAACTGACCTCATTTACACTCGTCAGTTGCATCACATGGAGAAGAAGCTTGAAGAACTACTGAACACTTTGATGACCAGTTGTAGGTACCTGTTTATTTGAAACTTGGGAAAACTATTTTGAACTTCATTTACTTTTGTCTGCTCGGGAGGAGTGATTGACTACTGATTAAAACCGGTTTTGACTCACCGGATTATTTGTTTACATCTTTTAACTCAAAATTCAATTCAACTTTAATCTACAATCCAACTCTCCTTAATATTATCAATATAATTAAATAATATCAATCATTCATCCTAACACATGACATCAGTTTCAATTCACTAGTCATTTCACTCACATATTTTTAACTACCTAGCATCTCCAATAAGCTCTCTCCTACTTTTACATCATATCAACTTTAATCATTATATTTATAATATTATTTAAATACAAATTCAAAATTTCATCCAATCCTCTACTCAATCAACTTTATTCAAAATTTCTTTTCTGTTTCGAGTTGAATATGCGGGGTTGGCCTATTAACCAATACACTGATCTCATTCAATATGTGGCTCAATTAGAATTTGCTGTCTGTTTTTCTAACATTTCTACTTAATGAGAACCGATAATCATATGTTACAATTCTTAATCATTCTTCTACAGGCCAATGACCCTTGCCGAGAAGCAACAGCTTCGTAGATCTATCCAGAATCTACCACCAAGAAACCTTGACCGAGTTGTGGAAATTATTAACCAAAACAAGCTGCCATCTGGAAAATATCCGTTCGGTGAAGTTTATGTTGACCTCGATGGAATGGTAGGCTTAAGACAAAGTTCGATTTTGCATGTCAAAATTTGACCAATTCCCTCACACAAGGTTTTTTGGTGATTTTTGTTAGGACAATGCGACTCTTTGGAGGTTGCATTTCTATGTGGCGACTTTCCAAGCAAGCAACAAGTGAAGAGACTAAAAATCTCACCAGTTGTTATTCGGACACTCACAGACTGTATACACGAAGCCGAGGCTTCAGAAATATGCGTACAGAAGTGGGTTTTAAAAAGCGCGTTGTAAAATGGGGCTGGCATTCTATGCTTGAAATTGCATAGTATAGCTGAGGGCTTCACTGTATGTTTCTCCCCAGCAATTTTAAATGTTTGGCTGAGGTGTTGTCTCCACTGTAAATCATTAGAGAATAGTTTCTCATATATGATATTCCTGAATATTGGAGTACACAGAATCACAGATAGATGAGATGTTCTTCCATAGCTAAACAGATCAATTGAAAA